CAGACTTATCGACATATCTGTCGGTGATGACCCAGTGGAAGCTCGATGTGCGGCCAGGCCAACTGTACTGGTCTTGGTTAGTCGAGACCTTGGCATTTTAAGGTTAGTTATCCTACCGAATTTATGGATCTAGTCAGAAGTTACGTTGCTGGACTGACCACAACCATCAAGCTTCAGGCTGCAAACGCGTCTTTGAAGACCGTAGCGATGTGGAAAGCTTTTTTGTTTAAAAACACATTCATTTAATCGTCGATCAGGTGTACACTGACTGCCGTTGGTGAGTAGTTTGTTTGATGACTTGAGCAACCTCTTCAGAGGGATTCCTTTTCAGGGGTCGCTTCATTTGGCCCGTTTACATCACCCTCGGTGAATGAACTTGCAGGGCATCATCTAGAAGTACCAAGACTAACGGTGGTGTCAAGAATGCTCACATTGATTAGATTGGTCAGCCATTGTAAATAGGTGAGAACACTTGTTTTAAAGATATACACTCATTTGCAAATCACTTTGGTTTTCACGAGAGACCCAACTGAATCTCTCGTTTATGATATTCTACAACTGAGTGTGCTGCACACAGGCCGCCTCATGATTCAGTTGGCACGATATTCGAAATATCGCAGTATATTTTCATAAAGGAGACTACTCACAAGGTTGCTGAAAACTCTTCGGCAGCCCACCACTGGTTTCGCCCTTCTTCGGGCTCATCAGGTGAAAGAAGTCCTCGTGTTTCCGTCAACCTCATGTGCTACTAAGATTCGGTTGAGTCTCCCATGGAAACCAAATTGACTTGCAAATGAGTGCATTTCTCGAAAGCGGTCCAATTAGGGTTCTAGCAGAACATAAGGTTGACGGAAACTCGGGGACTGCGCCTACCTGATGAGCGCGAAATGGAAGGGCAAAACCAGTAGTGGGCTGTCGAAGAGTTTTCAGCAACCTTGTGAGTAGTTTCCTTCATCAAAATATACTTGTTTTAAGTGGTTATTTGCCTGCTCCTTTTCGCTGTCTCGCAGCGTGCTCATGAACGATGGTTACGCCAGACGTTTGGCGAATATATGATCCTTGACAATAGAATGACCATTTCCCGCTTTTTGACCGAGGTCAGTTCATAAAGAAAGCATCTCTTCGATGATTAATTGCATTGATCAGAATATCTACTACTTATATCTGTGGTCCATCTCAATTTTTCGGATGTCTTCCTGTTAGCGTACATTTTCGTGTAAAAATCTAACATTGGTCTGTAAGAAATCGAATGCGCGCATATTTTATCGGCTGATTCCAATAGGGATGTTGGGTAATCTGAACATTTTCTGATTGAGGGGATTAGACGTTGAGCTGCTGATGTCATGATGAACCTGATTTGTCCTTGAACGGACGTGTAGTAGCTACTTCGGTGTGTCAGAGAGTTTGCGCGTTTGCGTGTCCGTTCGGCGTTCCACAATCGATCTGGCGTGTGACTTGAGTGCTGATTGGGTGCGTGTCCGATCGATTGGCTCGCGTGAGCGTTGTGGGTGGGCTAGATATGTGACTCTGTTGTTTGCTGACCCGCCACGAAAGCGGACCAGGTTGGCCGCTTGTACACAATACACCCATGTCAGTGCTTACGTGTTCTTCTGACTTACTGTGAACTAAAATAGAATGCTACTTATAAGATTGTTGAAAACGCGTCAGCCCTGTTGACGCGTCAAGAAGATATACTTCGAAGTCTCGTATATTGTGACATCAGAGGCTGTCTGTGTACAGCATATCCGGTTAAAGACTTCCACCAACTGGAGTCTAAGCAAGGATTTAACCGAGTCTCGCCCTAAGACAAATTTAGTACGCGAATGAGAGCGGTTAATTAATAGCACCTAATTTGGGATCAAGCTGAACATGAGATTGATCGGGCCTGCTGAATGAGCCAGGAGAAGAATAAGACTGGTGACGAGTGTTTTCAATAACCTTATGAGTAGTATGTTCCATGCATTAATGTAACGCGATATTCATATAATCGTACCAGTTGAAACAAGAGACGGTCTGTATGCAGCGCATTCAGTTGAGTCTTCCGGCAGAAACGAATTCGTATGCAAACGAGAGTGTTTGCCGAAATCTGTCCAACTTGGGGGGCTCAAGTAGAACATACGACTGACGGACTTTTACGGGACTGAGCCTACCTAGTGGGATAGAAGAAGGGCGAAACCCGTCACGTGCTGTCGAAGAGTATTACGTCAGTGTTACGTCATGCCAAATGAAACACGAGTAGTCCATTTGAAGCGGGGAGACGGTCTGCAGCGCATTCAGTTGAGTCTTCCGGCAGAAACGAATTCGTATGCAAACGAGAGTGTTTGCCGAAATCTGTCCAACTTGGGGGGCTCAAGTAGAACATACGACTGACGGACTTTTACGGGACTGAGCCTACCTAGTGGGATGGAAGAAGGGCGAAACCCGTCACGTGCTGTCGAAGAGTATTACGTCAGTGTTACGTCATGCCAAATGAAACACGAGTAGTCCATTTGAAGCGGGCCATCATGAAAGAAGGACGCGGCCGAGTCCAACAATGAAACTAAATGGAGAGCCTGGTTTGTTGATACTTGCCGAACAACAACTCAAAACATAGCACGTGGCAGTAATCTTAGAGGACTCCAAACGGTTCCCAGTGACATGAGTACGGCAGACACTACTGATGGGGCATGCGAGTAGTGCGTGGTTTTCTCGTAACTCCGCCTCGCGTCTAATGGAAGGTGGGGTTTATTACGGAACTTGTGGAACCACTTTGCAGCGTTCGTTTACAACTGCGTGATAGTCGATGATTACAACCACGAAAGTTCAAGAAGACTCGTGAGGATATTCAGTTTTTAAAAACAAGGTTCATGTGTGACGTTTACTTTCCTGTCCAACAGTTTGTAACAGTTTGGTTGATGTTTGCTATTAAACGTCTCCGTGGCGAAGGGCTTTCTTCATTGCAACGGCAGACAGTAAAGGGGTTAAAATACTGTCGGTGGCGTGAGGGGATTTCGGAAGTTTCTACTGAGATTTCGTTCTGTACATGAACCTAGTCTATGCTTGAAATCCGAATCGCACTGTATGTCTATTGAGGCACATCAGCAATACGCATCTCACGAAACTCCAGTACGGAGTCCTGAACCCCCAAACTCCCGGCTAGTAGTTTGTACACTGCACTGTTCGAATCCCAGTTCCTGATCAGTTGTGCGATCAAGTGGAACGTGTCAAGTCAAGGGAACCGGCTGGGGACTTTATGACCTCCGGAGTCTGTACAAAAGACGTTCAAATGTGGCCGGACACTGCGCAGCTGTCATGTCACGCAAATGAAAAACGACGGCTGAGACACCACGAGGTCGCCCAGGCCTAGACAGGAAAAGTCGAGATGCAGAGGTTGGGTTCGAACCACGGACCTTGCAGTCAGTAGGCGCGCGACTTGGCTAGTGAGCTATCATGGAGCCAATGGTCAACGGAACGATATCAGGGCAGCAGCAACTGAGGGTACACGCAACGCATAGCCCAAAAGAATTCCCCCTTTTCCATCTACGAATCGTCGAGGTGATCTGTGCAACACAGTCTGGCTCATCTGACCTATTTTGGTCCGAAAAATCCCGACAGTTGAGGCCGTCCTGGCTTAAGAAAGAAAAACCTTGTAGTTTTTACCGATCCTGGTGTTTACGACCCTTTTTCCTGATCCTCCTGGCATAATAATGATGGCCAAGTAGTTATTCTATTGCCATCAGCTGGTCGTACTTCGAGAAACCGAGAAACCCTATGGAGCCGTCGGCGTTAGATGGACTGTGTTGGTCACCAAAAGTACTTTAATCGCCCAGCTCTTCGACGGAAAATCATGACGAAACAAGTTTCGACCAACCATGAAGCGCAGGATAACATGCCTCGATTGACACAACCACTAACTTTGTTGTACACCACTGTCTTCGTAAAAAAAAGCTCCCTCAACAATCAACTTATATAATTTTTCAACTGGGAATCCGATCAGAAAAGGTCCCCAGTTTTCCTAACCTCCACAATTGGCTTGTGTCACCAGGATCTTTGACCTTCAAAATCGTTTGCTAGGGCATATTGAAAGCCGACAAAAAGGCTGTGGGATTCCATTACTGATGTTTCTGCTCCACAACATTGTGTCTCACCATTCAAACTTGGCAAAACGCTTGCGAAAGCATGAGTTTCAATGTCCAAACCAGTTGCCAGGCCCTGTCATCGTTGCGTCAGAGCTAAACCGCTGAACATATTCCAAAATTGCCCAGCGAAACTTGATTTGTTTGACTGATCTTCAGTTCACTTGCATGAATTTTTAGTGAAGAAATGTTCAGGAGGAATTCACTGATCTAAGGGACAACATAAAATGATTCCTGATACATGTGTTAATATATTTCGGTACATTCTATCGATGACATTGTTCTCCTAGATACTAACGAGTGAAATCATTCAGCTGTAGCACCCTTTCGGCACCGCACTGCCATGCCACCCGAGAGAAGCACGAGGGCTGGGATACTACCACGTTGCCCAAGCCTAGACAGGAGAAGTCGAGAAGCAGAGGTCGGGTTCGAACCACGGATCTTCCGGTCAGTAAATTTACGCTCTAATCACCTGAAACATCTCGCCCCCGTCTAACAAGTGCGTGGAACAGTGAACCTTCAGGATGTTATAGTCATGATTAGGACTCTGTCTTGCCATCCCGAGCCTTGCCGGGGGAGTTTCGTGAGGTGAGTACTGCTGGTAAATCCCAATAAGGATGGAACATCTGTACAGTGCTACTCAGCTTTTTAGCGTATAATGGCCTCATCTACTGGACGAAATCTCCACACAGCAACTGTGTGCCAATAATGCGTATCGAAACAAATAAGGCCATCGATGAGAATATCCGAGATCTTTATTTCGGTCGGGTACAGCCTACACTTTCGTCGGATAAACTTTGACTCTGGGGAGAGCAAAGGAAGGATGTCGTTGGAGGACATAGAAATCGCTTCCATTGTATTCTTTAACGTGCAAGGTAAACTCACTTGTCACCTTGTGTTGGAACATTTGTTTTCGGGCAGATACGTATTGTGTATCAATAAGAGGGATCTCGTTTAACACGGATTGGCTTGGAATGTGTTCGCACAAATCCTCAATGCTATGCTTAGTTTGAAATACTTCGTTTCGAGTGAATACCTTCGTGAAGACACCTAGCTGGTTCTCCAGAAACCAGTCTATTTTTCTGAAGTGTCCACCATTGCAGTTTTAGCAGCTAGTCTAACTTTATTGTCAGTTACTGCAGTTCGACTGGAGAAACCTGGCAACTGAAACGAAAACCGTACTCTTCGTTGAAGGGACGCCATCTCCGAGGGGTCTGGATGCCTCTGCCCACGCGAGTCCTTTATTTTTCAAGCTATAGATATCCACACTTTATGTACAAGAAGGCCCAAGACATAATCGGCCTCCAGAGTAAACGAGCTGCAACGAGGGACGTTCACCAAGTTCACAGATCAAGTGTGTGTGACAATGTGTGCGTGACAATTGATTTGTAGACTACCAAGGGGCGATTATCCCCGTATTCCTTTAAAAACAGAGAATAGCCGCGTCTCTTTGACTGAGGAAGATTCCCTGGGGATTCTATAGGCTATATTTATGTAGTAACGGTATTTTTCTCAGCTTAGTTCTCGGTCTGAACCTCCCAAGCTAGCGTTCACGTCAAAACAACCACGAAAGGTGCACAAGGTATATTAACGCCCAAAACGAAGTCAGGAATAGTTGTACAGCGCTTCATATATATACAGCGCAGGCGGCTGTAACTTTCTGGAAATTCTGACGCGTTCTGGATGCGCCATTGGCAACCGGCATTTGGCCATTACTGAGTCATGATTGGGTCCAGACTTTCGACCAATCAGATCTCGTCCTGATGCCGAACCGGCAAGCGTCCCGAATCCTTGGCCCATCTTGCGTGGAATGGAATTCTCGGCCGTAGCAGCACCTGAGTGCGAGCGGTTAAGCGGGATCCGTGTGGAAATCCGCCCAACAATTTTGCAGCTGAAATTTCAGACAGTCGCGTTCTTAACCGACCTCTATGGCGACTAAATTTTTGGACATGTACACTTCTTTCAAGGACTACCATTTTGTTTGTATTACATGTAATCCAGTCAGAGCGTCCAAATTCCCGTCCATTCTAACCCACTTTGAAAACAGGATGCCCTGTTTCAATTCAAGTATGGTTGGCGTGAACCGGTAGTCCACCGCCCCAACGTAACACCAACGCACACTACACTCGTATGTTAGAAAAGTCAACTCTCTCAAAGTGAATATTTTTGGGTTCAATCGAATCACGCGTTTGTGATGGACACCGTCAACCGAGTGTGTTGTGCCAGACCGCCTCATTTTTTCAGTTGCTACGACTTAGCACACTACTTACTGGGTTACTGAAATCCCATCGACATTCCACGACTGGTTTGTGTGGACATCCAGTTGAAGAACACCATAGACGAGAGATTAAATTGGATTAAAAGTAGTCTGTCTTCAAGACCAAAGTAGTGCGCAAATGAGAGTATCTGCTCAATGCCCAGAAGGGCAACTGATTAGCCCGTTCACTGTCGAACAGTTTTTACATCAGCGTTTTGAGTAGTGTGTTACATCTGAACTCATTCATACTTAAATTTACCGAAGAGAATGAACAAAATCCACAGGTTACCGATGCCACATTGTGAAGGGTTTGTCGTCCTTCTTGAATAGTGTTCAGTGTTCGTCGTCCAAGATGCCCCCGATCTTTGAGAGACTCTTACTGCTTCCGCCCTCCTCCCTCCCAACTACGCCCTAACTAACGATATCATCTTGTATGTTGACGAAACGTTTGCAAGCCGATTTCCGAACTAAGCAACTGGATCCACACTCACGTGACCAAAACTGTCCATTTGAATTCAGGGCGTTAGATGATTGTAGATTGTACATCACTTTTCTAATTCTATAGGTTTTTTGTACCTGAGTTCTAATGTCTTACGTCAGGACTTGCCGGTCCAAAGCGGTTGAAGTCCTTGACGCCTTTGCATGTTTGAAGAACCATAGTTGGCTTGCTCGTAGTCTGATCTGGTACGGAGTACAAACCGTTGGTGTCGACGAGGGCCTGAGAACATATGACTCCCAGGGGAACATCCACAGACCCCTGAACAACTGCTAGCCAGTATAAACGTGATGGCGTAGCAGAGCGTACTGGCCTCAGCGACTTCTGCCAGTTACAACGTAATACCACAAGTTCCGTTGTGTAATAGTACAGCGATGTTCTCGAGGGTCTCAAATCACCGCCTCATGAAAGTCGTAACTGAGGCACCAACGATATTCCTTTAGCCAAAAGTTTAATGGTCTTGACGTCCTTCGGGTGACTAAGCAGAAAGTGGGAAAACTCACAATGGTTCGGTCGGTAACGTTAAGCAGATGAACACATAAAAACACTGGTAACTCGAAATTGCGACATCGCCCTACGGAAGTTCATGTGATCGAGACTGCACTGGGTAGACTGTGCCCATTCCGCGTGGCGCTTGGACGCATTCCATCTCACAGCCAGCTTATAGTCGTTTTTGGGCCATCTCAGGACCTAAACTTGAATTGAAGACGGCTCCAGTAGCGAAAGTTTTGTACTGAACTGTAAATGTGACCATGTCTACGGCATAAAAAAGACCAAAATCGATGAAGGCAACAAGATTCTGGGATTTGAAGCGATCTAAGCCTTTACAGGCTACTAGACGCGAAAGCGATAATCTGTTTGCATAGAACTGTTGGGAATTGAACATTCTCCAGCGTCCTCTTGAGCTGTTTCAAAAGTCCTTTAAATAGGAAAACACTGTGAAGCGGTTCGATAATTGCCATATCAACCGTTCTTCAGGTGCAGGGAAGGCTTTTTGAAACGTGGCCAGACACTACTGGCAAGTTTCGTCAGGAGAAAACACTGTGAAGCGGTTCGATAATTACCATATCAACCGTTCTTCAGGTACAGGGAAGGCTTTTTGACACATGGCCAGACACTACTGGCAAGTTTCGTCAGTAGTATACACCATTCGCGCTGGTAGTGCTAAGGGAAATCGGTGGACGACTTATAATCTGCGTCCACTGGCATTAAAACGATCATTGTACTGTTGATGAAGCAAAGTAAGCGAAGAGAGGTGGGAAATAGAGCTTTTTTCATTAAAAGGAACAGGACGGGTCTTTTGAAACGGCCTTTTTCCGGAGCAACGCGTTAAACCAGAGGTGACTTCCGAGGCATTGAGAAAAAGATCTCTCTCTGTCTCGCTCAGTGAGTAATCCCACCTCGCGTAAATTCTTCCGTTTCCAGGAGTGGAAGGTTGAAGGGAAAGGCATGATCATAGCCGCTGACAATAACCGTGAAAGGGCGAAACCGGTCGTGGACTTTCGACGAATTTTCAGCAACCTTATGAGTAGTGCATTACAAATATATACATGAATTGTGAAAGTTCTTGTTTCAAATGAATTAAAAATTTTCATTTCAGTTACGGCAGTTCATGTAAAAACGTAATACACTACTCATAAGGTTGCTGAAAATTCGTCGAAAGTCCACGACCGGTTTCGCCCTTCTTGGTGGGACTCATCAGGTAGTCCTCGAGTTTCGTCAACATTATGTCCGGAAAAGTCATTGACTGCAATTTTTTCCCATTCAGCACTATCAGGCGCTCCATCTCTCCTAAATCAATATTTATTTTTGGACAAGGGTCTAAGTGAATGGAGGCAAAGGTGTGTGTGCGTTCCGTTGCTAGGTGTGAGTCGCAAAGATAAATGGGCCGTTAGCGAATCGGCAGATACCTCCAGCCGGTGTCAACCCACACAATCTTAGGATCAGGAAATCGTTTGCGAAATGAACCTGGTGGTGGTGGGGGGTTGTTTTTGTGCACACAATTATGTTTGTTTCACCAATCGGTTGGAACCCATTCTCTTTCGGCATTGTTCACCCGGGGGACAAATAGTCCATGACAATTTGTCACGACACTTTCGGATACACATCGATCTGACCGGTCCATAAACAAGCCCGGGCACAGATGGCATCTGTGTGTGATGTGGGCGCTCCGCTCTTGCAAGCGTGTGGTGTAGGTGAGGGGACAAACAAGCCCACCCTCATGTTCCTAGTTGCTGACGCTCGCTAGAGATATTGTAAACGAGCAGCAGAAATTTCGTTGGACAAAACCGCAAAAACCGCTTCGGTTCCATGACGCGACTGGAAAATTTACAATCAAGGTTACGCGCGGTAATCTCCACGACTTGGAACCGAAGGCATCGCATAAATACGCCGGCAAACGTGATGGAATATGAAGTGACCGCTGCGAGTTTCAAACAGCAACGTTAAGCGATGTTGCTCGATTTGGATCTAATCCAGATAAGACCCGACACCCAAAAAGATTAGAAAAAAGTGGATATGAAATTTGTACTTTTAGTTTTTATTGAAGAGGATGTAGTTGGGTCGTTCATTAATAATTTACATGAAAAGGTGCGTTTTTCGGTACCGTTGCCTCCAATCGAACGCACAGAAGTAGTTGTCCACTAATGATCGGTGTGTGCCGCATCGGCATTTATTCTGCATCTTGTAGACGTGCAAAAGAGATTTGATAGTTTGTATGTGAGTTCCAGTCATTGGATCCACAAAGTTTTCGGTATGATTAACCGTTTCATGAGTACTATTCATACCAATCATCGTTTCAGTTCATTGGTATGATGCCCACATATCGGAGATGATGATTGAACCGGGAGCGATGCAGGCTTGGATTGTGTCTATTAAAGTGGCCGCAGTTCGATCTGACACTACATACATGAACATCTCTTTAGTTTCCCAGCAGATCCCTCCTAAAATCCACTGCTGGGGAAGGACTCGCCCTGCATGGTTTTTACGGCGAGATATTGGCGTTTCATCGATCTCGATGTGTAGACCTGGGCCGCCGATAACTGCTGGAGTCTGCAAAAGCCGCCACCAGACGCAAACTTCCAGTCGAGAGCGGTCGTGTGGCCAATAGATAATTCCTCTGAGCAGAATTTGAGTTTTCGCAAATTTTTGGACCAACGATTGATGAATAGAATTACTGTCCCAAACTCCATCCTAGACTGCTCATTTGGTGGCCATTGTTGCATAAACGTTGCCGATGGATCACTCCGTGGCTTTGCAAAAAACGTATTGCTGTCTCCTTATCATGAACGAGAGTTGAAAGCGACAGAAAGTTCATTTAAAGTTTTACGTCCGAACGGGGAAAATTTGTGCACATAATGAGTCTAGATGCGGATAAGGAGTTGTTTTCACCAAAAATAAGTCAAGGTTGTGTGCGTACATTAAACTGGAGCTGGCAAAAAGTGACGGGGCTTAACTTTTCACACATGCACTTTTTTCATTAGTGGCGGGACATATCAAGAAAAGACCCCTCAATTTTACGCATATTCCGTCGTGAGAAAGACCCGTGAAACTAGTTCGAGTCCACCTCTAGCAAAGCCAGCGAATGTCACATAGCTTGCAATCCGTTCCCCACGCATTCGGTCGGGAAGTTAGAGGTCCTTGAGCATGATGGTCACACGTTTGACATGCATAGCGCAAAGTATGTGTCTGCAGTAAAACACTCGCTTGCTCTGGAATCGTAGGTCCGTCTTGAGGTGATCTCACGGATAGGGTGCTGGAATGACAATTTGTGAGCTCAATGCTCTTCTGGGAACAACGATGCTGGACCCGTATCGATGAGGCTTCATGACATTACCGGTCTTTGTGCCGAGCTGCTCCCTTCTTTTGAAGCTCTGCCACCAGTGAACTTCCGAGCATTCTGCATAGTGCGAGCCATCTGGAGGTTTACACGCTGAAGCACTTAATGCAACCTGCAACCTGTGGCTGACTGGTACCCATCGCCAACATCTTTCACCGCACGAAAACAGGCGTTAGACAGTGAGCTCAACCGTTTGTAGCGTAGGAACAGGTGAAACAGTTGTTAGTTTGGCATAAGTAAATGAAGCGTCAAGCAAATGACTGCAATATGGAATGGTGCGTTCCCATGGGAAGAATGCTTAACCATTGCGCAACCACCACTCAGGGATATCGATCCAAAAATCTCCTGAAAAATCCAGCCAGCACTGTACAGGACTGACGGTACCTTCCAGAAGAAATATCACTACTATAAAGTGGCAAAAGTAGCACAGTACAATCTCACTTTGAAAACGGAATGCACCCTCGTAAGAAGCCATGACTTACTAGCGACTTTCTTTCTCCCTGAGTGGTGTATCCCTCTGGAGACGTTTATAGTTAGTTTTTTTACTTATCTTTCTCCAGAAACCGCCAAGTTGCTTCAGCGTGTCTTGATCAAGAGGTGGCGTTCGTGGACCCTCTCTCTATCTCTCTCTCTATTCTGTTTGTGAATACTTTCTCCACTATACAAGAATGTATTTCGGAGCGGTGGGTGAATATAGTTCAAACTTAAAGAACGGTGGTTGGAACCTTCAAGACTTCTTTTGAGTCGCGACTGAATCTAACCTTCCACCACCATAATATCCTGCGCATAAATTCGAGCATATTACTCTTCCTATTCAATACATCTTCGTTCCTCAACCCCAGTCTGTCAGATTACATTCATAGTTGAAGAGTTTGTTTACCGATTATTACTGTCTCCCTGACTTAAGTTTAATCCGATAAAGGTGGCTAACTGGTGACCAATTGCCGTATCGCGCTCAAGAATGCCCAGGTTCGATTTTGACAGGTTAGCTGTCCATAGCAATTAGGGGGATGATAAGCTTCGTCCCGAGACGGTTACCACACACACAGACAGACAAACTGGAGTAATTACGGCATTCCATATCGTTGGGTTTCTTTAGGATTCACGACATATAGGAGCAGTTTGTCGCTTGGAAGCTGTGTCAGAGCTATTAGTCTCAAGTAAGGTTGGTAGAAACTGCTTCCGGAAAACGAAAAGTTCAATCGATATCTCGCTTTGTAATTTAAGGACTTAAAAGCTGAAAATCGCCATAAATTGGTCTAGATGAAAGGTCACCGAAACTCCTCCAGAGCTTGCTAGATAAGCACAGGAAATTTGTTGTTTGGCCTTTGTAGCAATCATTTGTTTAATTTTTGACTCTGTTTGAGCAGCTGTCTTGAATTCCACGAAACTTAGTTCCATCCTTGTTACTGAACCGGCTACTAGTCAAGATCTGATTGTCGGTCTGATCGATTCACTAAAAACAACCAGATTGTTGGTTGGAACGGGAGTTTGCCGAGGTGTGATACTCGACACAAATCCGATCAATAAAATCGTCGAAATTGATCCAGTCTATCAGATGCTACGAAGGAAATCACTACGCATCCACGGAACTCCGAACCACATGGGAAACCAAACAACTTGACTAAAACGGACGGACTGATGACAGCCACTGAAAATAGCAATCCACTGAATCAACCAATCACGTGGAACAAAATCAGACCACGAATCAGGAAGAAAACGGCCCAATCACAACAGAGTACAAGAACTGTCAAATCGAAGGTCAACTAGATACAAATGAGAGAAATCATGACGCACCGCAGATACCCAGGTGACCAATCAAATTATACGAAGACCACCATGGGATCAACCAATCACTTTAAAGATATTGCCTACTGTTTAGAATCTACATAAGCACAAGAAGTAGGGGAGGAAATGATCGGTCTCACCCCGCACTGACGATGTGGCTACGATTTGTGGAGCAGCTTTTGCAATCCAACTGCTAAACTCGGCGAACAGAACAACTGATAAACTCTTGGTCTTCTCAGCATACCTTTCACCCTTGTTTGCAACAGATTTAGATTGGGTTGGTTTGCTGTAGGAAAGAGCTCATCTGTCACTTGGTTTCTTTCATTAATATACCTGTTCCTTTTTGCAGTGAAAGCAAGATTTCAGAGTGAAGTTGATGAGAAATGGACGAAACACCGACTTTAGTCGGTTGCTAAAATTCAGTATAGTTTAAACGTCAGAACACTGCGTGGCTAACGCGCTGTCCACCTGAGCTGTTGTCCAACTCTGAAGCGATATCTTGTGCAGGTAGACGACCTTAGTTGAAATAAAATTTACAACATCAAGTAAGGCTTTTCATCAGGTCCTTAAAAGTAACCGAACTTTTTGAACTTTACCAGGTGTATATAAGGGAGACTTGGATAGCCTTCAATATCAAAACAGGGCTTTCTAATGAGTACTTGTCTTGTCCGTCCTACAGTATGTCTCGGAAAGCCTGTGACGCTAGGAAGGATTGTGATGAACCAGGAGGACGAACACCACATACTGCTTTGGGCCAACTGGCAAGAGCCCTTCAAAGTTCATCGGTAGATTGCGGTACACAAGGCGACTTCTATAGGCATTATCTCTATTTCGGTGGGCAACTAGTGGCAATTTTCCTAAGAACGGGTTTAACTGAGTAGTTTGCCTCTTCCGTAGGGTACTGAATCTAAAGATTTGAGCTAAAAGTTTGATTCTCGTGTTTCTCATTGATTGATTGATTGATTGATTACCAGCATGGCTTACATAAAGGAGGGTTCTTGACTGGTGATGAAATCTTTGAGGTTTTATAAAACCTTGCGGTCCTCACGAACTGGACGTCCCCTCAAGCAATTACGGATATTTGCGTTGTTAAAGGACAGATGGGCTTAGTGAAATACACTCATTCGCATATCGATTTGGTTTTGAAAGGAGACTCACCTGGAACGCAGCTGCATCGCTCGTTCATGATGTCCGTTAGCAACTGAATGTGCTACGTCAGGACGCTTTATATTTTACTTGGAACATCATAAACCAGAGATCCAACTGGGTTCCGGGTGAGTTTCTCGCAAAACCAAATTCGCTTGCAAATGAGTGTATTTCTCGAAAACAGTCCATTTCGGGTTCAAGTATAACATAAAGTTGACGAAAACTTTAACTGAGTAGTTTGCCTCTTCCGTAGGGTACTGAATCTAAAGATTTGAGCTAAAAGTTTGATTCTCGTGTTTCTCATTGATTGATTGATTGATTGATTACCAGCATGGCTTACATAAAGGAGGGTTCTTGACTGGTGATGAAATCTTTGAGGTTTTATAAAACCTTGCGGTCCTCACGAACTGGACGTCCCCTCAAGCAATTACGGATATTTGCGTTGTTAAAGGACAGATGGGCTTAGTGAAATACACTCATTCGCATATCGATTTGGTTTTGAAAGGAGACTCACCTGGAACGCAGCTGCATCGCTCGTTCATGATGTCCGTTAGCAACTGAATGTGCTACGTCAGGACGCTTTATATTTTACTTGGAACATCATAAACCAGAGATCCAACTGGGTTCCGGGTGAGTTTCTCGCAAAACCAAATTCGCTTGCAAATGAGTGTATTTCTCGAAAACAGTCCATTTCGGGTTCAAGTAGAACATAAGGTTGACGGAAGCTCGGAGACTGCGCCTACCTGACGAACCCCAAGAAGAACAAAACCGGTCGTGGGCTGTTAAAGAGTTTTCAGCAACCTAGTGAGTAGTATATCATTTCAATAAAGGTTGATTTTTCTCTGCAAAAAAACTGAACGTTCCGCTTCACACGGAGAATTCCGTTCTCGTTAAAACTCTTCTGCTGAACGTTGGTGGACTGGTAAATTTAGTTTTCCGTGATTAATTTGGTCAGCTGTGAAGTCATCGCAAATAAGTGTACGTAGATGGGAATTCCGGTGTTGAAAAGCAGTTTAAAATGCATCAACTTCCGCTGTAGCAGTTTGACCTGGTTCGGGATACCTGCTAGGGTCATTGCTCTGGATTGCCGTCCAAACCGAAAGGAGAAGGTACTTCTGTCCTAATTTCATGTTGTACGAACCTCTTGTAAATACCTGATCTTCTATCTACGCCATTTCCGGGATCCAAGCGTTTTTGGACGAATTTATCATCCTGAAATGTTAGAATGCATCTCAAAGCTTTAGTTTGACTGATCAACGACAGAGTCCCCGGTGCGGAGGTTGATTCATACTCTAATATAGAAGCCAGCGATGTTAAGTTGAGATCCAATCAGAAAACACGTATACGCAGCCACATGACCACAAACAAGATTGTCTCCTCAGCTGATCCTGGCATGGACGAAAACAACCGTCGGTATGGACATCAGGTACTGGAGCTTCTTCAAGTCAAATTTAATGGGGTGAATATCTTTCATTTATTAAACCTATCAGTCTAATATCGAGAAGTTTTTCAATGTGCTTAAAATTAGGACAGTTTAGTGCGGCTGAGTGCCATAATCGTTAGTTTCAGATAATCATTCATAGGTATTCAAAAGGGTGGGATTGCCCAAGTGGGTAGAGCGCGAATTTACTGATTGGAAGGTTCGTGGTTCGAATCCGACCTCTGCCTCTCGACTTCCCCTGTCTAGGCTTGGGCAACGTGGCAGTATCCCAGCCCTCGTGTTTCCTTCGGGTAGCATGGCAGCTAGGCACCGGAAAGATTTTACAGCTGCGAGTTTTTTTTATTCAGAGGTTTCTCTAAACAAACTTCGACAGTTTCTCTGAGAATCTGTGAGAAAGTGCAAGAAGGATGAACAGATGAAGACGAATGATTTTATGGAATAAATAGTTCAGCTGGTCGAATCAGCCTCGGGGCTAGCAGTGCGTGAACTCCCCACAAACTTTGGGATGTCACTTGCTGTGAAGCAAGACTCAACAAGTAGTAATCCACAATAACAGTTTCAGTGTGGGCACTTTCAGTCGTTATTACCTCGTGGAGTGATCAACATCATCATCATCATCATCATCATCATCATCATCATCATCATCATCATCATCACCATCATCATCATCATCATCATCATCATCATCATCATCATCATCATCACCATCATCATCATCATCATCATCATCATCATCATCATCATCATCATCACCATCATCATCATCATCATCATCATCATCATCATCATCATCATCATCACCATCATCATCATCATCATCATCATCATCATCATCATCATCATCATCACCATCATCATCATCATCATCATCATCAACTGCATAACACCGGTGTGCGATGTCGATGCTTCACTGCCGTAGGTTATGGTTGTACGAGGGTTGGTTTTCTGGCAGGGTGCCCACACCTAGACAGGAGGACGATTAGGGTACTCAACAAAACCTTTGGCTCAAAAGCCTAACCTCAGGGCAGCGGTGTTTGGCGGGAAATGCGAATACACTACCATTTACACGGAACAAGTCGCCACATGTTCCAACCCCAAACCTGGAGGGCCAGGAGACTGTGTTCGTCAGACCTCTAACCATTGACCAACCTGGTATGAGAGGCTCTGTGAGTGTGACGGGGACACTTCCCAGTATAGCTCACCGGATCTCTGAGGTGCGCAAATCGTCAAACCACGGTAAGGTCCAGTCTCTTCGTGACAGCTCGTGGAGTGAAATATCCTGCGTGTCAGCGACCGAACTTGGCAGTTCGCTTGCAACTGTATCGTCATCAACAACGTTCACCGATGATGTCCTCTCGATTGGTGATCATACGCTCGCAACCAAACTGCGAGGCTTGGTGAGCAGATCAACAGCCAGTTGACATACCTGGGCTAACAATGGTCAGATGCAGTCTGCCACATATAAATCTGATGAAATAAACTTCAGGTCACCAGCCGTCAACTGAAGATTGTTTGAACTTTTGCTGATCATGGTGAATTCAGATATGCTGTATAAACCTGATATACTGCTCATAAAGTTGCTGAAAAGTCTTCGACACTCCACGGTCAGTTTCGCCCTTCTTATCAGGCAGTCGCAGTCCCCGAGTTTCCATCAACCTTACGTTCTACTTGGAACCGAATTGCGCGAAATTAGCGAAATACAATCCTTTGCAAAACGAGAGATTCAGCTGGGCTTCAGGTGGGTCTTACGCAAAAAAATATAAATTCGTTTGCAAATGAGTGTATTTCGCCATGATCACATGCACTACATCTGGAGAATGACTGAAATAATCTGAGTCTTGTGGATTTACGACAAACATTCGAGGTAAGATGTAAAATCATTGATGCTTACACCGAATTCCTACTTGTTTACCTGACTATCGGTGCTTATTTGTCACGAACGTGTCCACTTCCGTCCCGTGTGTCCTTGACCAATTACACGTGTTTATACGAGGCGAAACTGGAGAGTTTCTACTTTGCTCCGGTGAACGCTGTTCAGTAAATAAACAACATTAGGTAAATAGTTTTGTAAATATTTTGCGGATGGGCAGTGCGCTCAGAAAAACAGCTGAACAACTGACGATGGCCTTTCTTGCATTTTGTTCCTCAAAAAGAAATTTTTTGGGTAGAGCTAATGGGAACCAGGAAGGAAAAACAAAGACCATACATGAAGTTGTTTAAGTGATCAGTACTTTTAGAGATGAACCACAAAATGACTCCGCGATCTTCAACTTTCAAGTTGTAGAAGAGGAAGTAGAAAATATCACTAAAAAAGAAATTCGAAATTTGCAGCAAGGAACAGCCGGTAAACCAAAAAAACAGCTAAAAATGGACTAAACAAAGTTATTCAATCACTGCATTGGGTATGTTGTTCCAGTGATGTCACCCAGCCGGTGGTGAGTGAAACTCTCATCTGAAAAGTTGTCACTCGAGGAGCCAGTCAGTTTGTGACCACGTGACGTGGATGAGTGCCGCTTTACCCAATCTAAATGAGAACCAATCACACTCTGTTGTTTAGTCGCCGAACAATTAATTGTTCAGCCATGAACGGAGTCTCAACTCAAGACCCATTTCCATCGAGCAGTATTGATTTTTGAGTTTGCTTTGGCCAGTAGAATGGTCGAATTAGCGTTAAGTGTGGGTAAGAAGCCCCGGATACGCACGTTGGGATATCAAGTCTGAAGAATGATTGGATGAAGCGGAAACTTTTCCGTTGGTTACTTGGACTCACTGGACCTTGACTGTTCATATGCTGGGCAGTTGGTTCCAGACATTTCGTCACTAGTCGTGGAGACATCACCAGTGCACCGTCGGATGTGTCACAGAGAATGGCTCAATGTTTGCCACTGTCTAGTGGATCCCACAAAGCCAAGCACGTGAGAAACCTGGCCGAATCGGTTGACTTGCTCTCACAAGTCCCACCTAGAAGTTCCACCGTCCACATGTGATCGTCGCCGTCGAAACAATCGCTATTAAGTTACACCAACCTTCACTAATCGACATAACCGCAGTCGTAGTTCCAGCTCCTTGGACGGCATTCTTGCACTTGCGTGCACCATAGTGAAACGATAGATCAGTGGTTTTAGGCTGACTGATCGCATGGAGATTCCTCAGAGTTTGGTGAGATGGGCACTGCCCAATGATTCCCAGTACCAAGAATCGAACAGCTGTACGATATTACTGGGTTTTCAGCATAGACCGAATTCCTATGATAGACGAAGTCTCTTTAGAACCAACTTTCTATTCGGGACAAGGTATCAAAAGTCAATTTTTTAGACCAATATGCTTGTGTAAAATCTTCCGTTTTTTTTGCAGGCAAACTCCTCGCCAACGGACAGTGAATTGGCCAAGACCAGAAAAATAAGCCAAACGTTGTTGCATGTTCGAACTCTAATTAAAAATGACTATGTCACAACCGCAGCTGGCTTTTGTTCCCAAGCTGAGATATTTTTCAAATTTCCCCCGACGACTTGTTTCTCGTGTTCCGGGGCGTCCGGTAGTCCCATACGAAGCGAAAATGACCAAAATTGTGTTATGCGTGTATTTGAGGAATTGACGTACTGTAACAGCTGTTCAGCCATTCATCTCTCGCAGACAAGTTGGACAGAAGAAAAAAACAAGATATGCGACTTGCGACATGTCAGAATATTTCGTATTCAATACCGTCCACTCACAACGGACAAGACGAAAACCAGTGGGTTTACGTGATTGCAGGTACACCGACTTTCCTCCGATATTCACATACACGCGGCTATCCCGACGGTTAGACCAAAGCGAACGGCTTGTACGTTTACCTGTTAGATTTAGAAGTCTTTCGGACAGTTCACCACCGTGTTTTCTTCTGTTTGGGACTCAGTGTTCATACCCGAAATCTCTTAAGTGAGCAGCCAATTGAGCGTGCGGGTTTCCAAATTGATTCCAAAAAATCAGTTCTTTAACAGGAGACTTGGACGAAGCGTTCGCAAACAGATCCACATGCAGCTAATCGATTACCGAGTCATCAATCTCCTGAGAACCGGCCGAACTAAATTACGAATCTTCAATCACATTGCAATTCGGATGGGGAGACGATAATTTTGAACTTTATGGAATTCGGTACCCTCGTTTGAATGGTTGTCATTCGGTCTGGACGCGATCATTTTAGTGAGCTAACACACCAAAGGGCAAGCAGTCGAGTCGATTTTCTGTCTTGTTAGAGCTCATCAGCAGTGTACATCCTTGGTCCAGTCGAGGCTCGAACTCCGGACATCTGACATCCGAAGCAAGTGTGTTACCGATACTTCACCAGAGCGCGCTAAGCGGGCTTGAATTATCACGTCTGAAGTGTTCGTGCTTGAGCGTTGTGGTTGAATTTGTCCGTACGACAACCCAGCCCTGGTTGTGTCCACTGATTCACTCGCCTTCTTGTGTAATCTACCGACGCCCGAGACCTGTCAGGTGACTTTTATTCAGTTGCAGGTGGCTACCGGGTTTGTTTAATTCACATTTATATCACTCAAGACATAGTTATTTTCATGAATCCACACCAGGGGGGGGGGGGACCCAGTTGGGGCCATTAATTCACGTGGTTTGGCCTACCGCGGCCTAACAAGTTAGGAGGAACTTTTGTCGGTCAGAAAATGAACACGCATCGACGAAGTAAAAATCAGCGTGAACAAAAATGGTGATCTTTCCTTGCATTGCTGGTAAACTCAATCAACTCTCGCCTTGCCTCCCTCCCACAGAGTTTGTCTCATCGGGATTACACGAGAAACGCCTGCTCAAATACCTGTTCGACCCAACTCGTCCAGATGCGCACAACCCGATGGAGCGTCCCTCGGAAATCGATTCACAACGATTGACTGTGAGCGTCAAATTCTATCTTAATCAGGTTATGGACGTGGTGAGTGCTTTTCTAGGCGAATACAATGGGCATTTTTTCATTTTTGTACATTTTGTATACATTTCGAAAAACTCCGAATGCAAGCGTGAATTTCCGGGTTGAAAATTGACGTGGGCAATTCCAGAAATTGGGTAGCAACTTGAGTGCTTTCCGGATAGCCCTGTTGACTCGAAATTCGCGGCACTAACACGCAATCTTGTCCGCTTCAATTGCCTCAGTTGGTTCATCGTTCCTCATTAGTTGCCGTCCTCCATCTCACTAAGAGAAAAGCAGAAATCAGTGAAAGTGAGCAGTACGTTTGACAAAATCTCATCACAAAGGTAAACATATGGATAGTTGGTTGATGGGATACTAGTAGTTGAGAGTTCCTGGCACTCAAAAGGGCCGCTGAGCCCCGGTAACACTTTCCGGTGCGTTTTAAGTGGTACGTTGAAGGTTGTCGAAACCCGAGGGTAACCGCTTGTGCTGCGGATGACATCTGACCAATCAGACAACACTCGGCTAGTCCTGCACCGATCCTCTTGCACTGGTCACGTGTCTAGCTTATGCTATACAGGACGATGCATGTCCGGTCATTCTCTGTGATAGACGCCCACTCGTAGGACATACGAAACGGTCGCAGACGAATGAGCAGACGAAGAGTGACGAATCTGGGGGTTACAGTCTGTCCTTTGAGCAAACGGATACTAATGAAGTGACAAACGCCTAATATATTTGGACCTGTCCATTGGGATCTAAGCAAAAAGAGCGTCCCAAATAGCTAATAACAAGCGTCCCCGCTATTCAAGAGTATGGTGACCTTGTGATTCACGTTCAACAGATACTTAGACGTATATCGCACGTAATTCGTGTCAACGAAGCCATCAACGTGTGTGCGCTCTCCAGGCCAACCCTCTTCATGTTACACGCATTTCGGTTACCAGTTACCTGGTAACCGGAACTGAAACAGAATAAAAATACTGTTGGTTCTGTCCCGTATACCAAAGCTGAGTATAGACCACTGCGGTTTAAAGCTTTGGTTTAAGTAGACGGTAAAGTGGTTAATGTTTTTGGCCACTTTGCTCAAAACAGTTTGCGGAGTCAAACTCCTAAAAACGGTAACCGAAATGGGACGGAGAGGAATAGGCCTCAGCACCTTGCCTCTAACTCGATGCATTATCAGTGAATGACAGTTAGGTGGAGGAACTGTCGGTCAAATTCACAGATATAGCCAACCATTTCAAACAATAAAACCTCGGTAAAAAGGATAAACAAAATCAGTTTGTTGCTGGCCTGAAAAAAAGATGCACTCAGAAACTCCAAGGTTATCGATTGAGCTTTTATCCTGTTATTGAAACCAATTTATTCTAGGAAAACCAAAAAGCAGTGCGAAACTGTTTCGTCTCTATCGGAAAACATCAGCTGTGTGCCACCCACGAAACTCAGAGAGTTTTGAACCTGTGACCTTCCATCCAACGGTTGAGCACCTAAACTTTCCGTCACGAGCGGCATAACTAGTCCTCACTTGGACGGTCACAGCGCCAATCAGCTCTGATTTACATCACGTGATCACACGCCCTGACTCGCTCTTCGAGTGACAACTTCTCACTCGGGAATTTCACTCATCTTGTGAAATTATTCTTTCTATGAACCCCAATTAAGATTTCGTTCTGTAATTGAAGTCGGCAGAAACTCGATTAAATTTCATCAGATGAGCATTGCTCACAATAGGGATGAAACAGCTGTGCGGTGCTTCACGCCATTTCGGCGTACATTCAGGACAAAATCTTGGCCCACTGACACCGACCTCTAATGTATTGCATCGATTACGTGTGCTCAACTCCTTATAACTGATCTAACAAGACATCGTGCAGGTAAAAGATAAGGAGAGCTAATCAGCTGTGGGGCACATAAGCCTTCAGGGAACTTGATGTAAGACGAGATGACGTGTCAGTTGTTCGAATTCTTTCGCACATCCTACCTCTATCCTTTGGTTTCCTCGCCACTTTTAGGCCTGTGTTCTCTTTGCGCAGTCTTTTTCTTATGTTCTGGAGAATTTCGTCAGCTGATCATACCTTTCGTGATGGATGCCGGTTCACTTCGGCAGATTTACTCCCACCCACCTGATTGGCAGTTATTTCCAGAGAAATGCATACGATGCTGAGAATTCGAACATGTGCACGCTTCATCTGTCTCATGACAGTGTAAACATCAGACTAGAGTCTGCTCATTTTGGTAGTCACTGTTACGTTTTATACGATTCGCACAACCCGTTGTTCGTGAAATTCGAGAGTAATTTACAAATAAATCGCCTTCTGGCACAAAACGAATGCTTAGTGGAGATATCTATCTGTCTGGTGTATACAAACGAGGTGAAAAGTTGACCAGTTGAGTTGCTTAAAAACTGATTGAAAAGTGGGTGACGAGTTACTACACTCAAGTGTGAGCTAGTCAAAATGGTGGTCGGCCGCTCGTGGTCGATCGATTAAATGTTCAGTTCGAAACTCCCCGAAGTTTTTTAAGAGGGGGGCCTACTCCTGACGAATTCCAATAAGGTCAACAGTTAGTAGTTTGGCTGTAGTACCATGTGACCCAGAAGAAACAAGAGGGATGGAATAATGCCCTATCCATCAAGATTGAACGGGCGCAGTCAAGATGTCTAGACTGGGGTTCGAACTATGGACCTTTGGCCCAGTATGTTCTCAACTTAACCACTGACGTATCTAGGTTTCCCAGCGTAGATTACAGGGAGAAATTCAAAATCCAAAAGGTTGCCTTCGGCACAGTTTGGAGATCGGTAGGCAGAAAAAAGTATGAAAGCACAACTCACTTTGCTGTACCTACACGGGAGATGAACTTAAAACTCGGCTAGCAGTGCACTTTAACGGTGTGTGGCATTCTCACCAGTCTTTTGTGCGTGACCTTGAGTTCGTCCGTTTTTTCCTCAAAGCTGGAAGGTAACTATGGTTATCCTTAGCTTTCTGAATGCGGCGAAATTCGCTGATCGACGCTGAACGAAAAAGACTCGAAGTTCACACGCTTTCACGTGAGTGGTTCAATCTTAACTTATGTGAGCTGCTCTCGTCTGACTTACGAATATTCCATCCTGACCCCGTCTCTGCTGTTCACCCGACGTTTTAGGTGAGTATGTCGTCTAAAAGGAACAGCCTCCAACATTCACTGCATTTCCTAAGGAGGAAATTTCTGGAATCACAATACTCTATCTGTTCTGCCGCTGCCAGGCCCCTGATAGGTCAAGAATGATTGGAGCTTACGGGAACTTATGTTGATCTTCTAAACCAGCTACATGCTTAGAAAGCAATACTCAAGTGTCAGCATCACAGAATCGTCCTCTGGACAATATGAGAGACTTTCAGAGTACGTTATCATCTGTCATTATCGAGGCTTGTTTCTCCCCTACAAGAGGCTTGAAATTTCAGATAGCTCGGCAATTCGGTGCTTGTTTCATGACAACCTAATACATCTGTGTAGTGTCACGAAATCTCTGAATGCAACCAAAGCTAACACTGAAAATGATGGGATATTGGATGGCCGCCATCCAACCACCCAATAGAATACGAGGTATACAAACCACGGCGCAGCGCGAATCCCGATCGGACCAATGATATGAAAAGAAAGGTATATACCAATTAGCTAATTACATGAGAGGATATTAGATACTACATAAACGCATCTAGGCAGGGAGGCAGCACACACTCAACTGCGCACTGATGTTGTTACTTCGACTGGGGAAAAAACGTATGCAAGCCAGTTGCCTGGCTCAGAAGTACTATTCACACCTGATCTATCAATATTTCAACCCATTGACATGATAAAATATTCCACCGCCACTGCAGAGCAAAAAATGAGCAATACTGTGGTCTTCCGCCACACAGTGAAAAAGCCGCGATCTCCGAAGGCGTTTATTTCATCCGCTTTGCAGGGTCTTTCATCAGATCTCAGATATTTTGTCTTCATACCAGTGAAGATTGATGCTCAGTGTGTGTCTACAGAAAAACCCGTGAACTAAGCCTCCATCTTCGAGGCATTTGGGTGACACTGATTGAATGCAAGTTACTCATCACCAGGACTTATCGGCGAAGCCAAATTAGTGCACAGAATTGTCCTCAAAGGAAGAAAAGTACACCTAGGAAGGAGATGGATCCATTCTCCCTGCTTCTTCCTGTGGTCCGGACAATGTCCACCAAGAAGATTTTATTGAGCTACGTGGAGACGAGTTTGTGCGAACTTCATGTGCAGCGAAACTTGAGATGCACTGCTTGCAGGAAACACTGTAAGCCAAAAAAAGTGCCGAAATACTGGTTGAACAGTCAGGTGTTGATGTGTCCACCAAGTCGGACAGCTGACTTACATACATTTGACGATCATTAAGAAGGCCTCACCAGTTACGCTATGAATGAACCCCGCCTCTTGAACCAACGTGCTACCTTGCCACAGTTAGTGCCGGAGTAACTGATCAAAATTACAAACCGCGTTAGTTTGGAACGATCGTATGACTGTAGTTTTTACAGAAATCCATTTTCAAAGTGATTGGTTCCGTTGTGAAGACAGAGGCCATCCGAGCAGAGTAACCGGAGCAATTAGGTATGTCCTGAGAGCTTTACTCTGAAGTTACACCTTGTCTAACGTACTGAGCTTAATCAAGCCTGCACTGGATCGATCAAAACGTCAGTTGGATCGGATCTCAGCGGAAGACGAAACCCAGTTTCTCAGGCATGGCCTTTGTGCCCATGCGGAAATTAATGTACTTTAGATATACTATGAGCCAGTATTAAGTTACTGGCTTCCTAATTGGATACGCCGGCCAACAGCTGTCAACTTCATGAACTCGTGTACATAGCATTCATCAGACGGAATGGAATTCGTCGCCGAACATTCTTAAAGTCGTTAGTTTAATGTAATGTGATGTAATCACGTGCCGGTTAGTCATAGGGAGCCTGATGGAAGAGCACGCTGAATCGGTCTTGGGTTGTCGAAGAAGTTTCAATAACCACGTGAGTATTGTATCACGTTTGTGCATGTATCGAGATATCTTGAATATCGTGCCAACTGAAACATGAGGTTGCCTGGGGCAGCACATTTCCTTGCTTAGAAACATCATAAACGGGAGATTCAGCTAGGTTCCAGGTGAGTCTCCCGCAAAACCAGATTTGTTTGTAAATGAGTGTAGTTCGCTGATTTCATGAAATTAGGGTTCAAGTAGAACATAAGGCTGACGGAAGCTCGGGGACTGCGCCTACCTGATAAGCTCCAAGAAG